AACTACTACGGGGCCTGTAGGTAAGGGATGCAGCTTCACCCCCCTCCCCCGCACAAAAGAAGCATTAATTTGAGACTCTCATATTACCCATAGGCCCCAAAGTAGTTCCTTGTGGGGATTACCTTATGGGATTCTATATACGAAGCCCAAAAAGGAGCTACTTTGGGGCCTCAGGGTAATTTGAGACTCTCAGAGCAGGTGGTGTCGAGCATCTTGGGTCTCAGCTGGCCCTACCGCTACTGGCTCGCCGAGCACGCTGTGAAAGGCATGATGCTTACCCTAAGGCTCCACAGTAGTTCCTTAGGGTGTTGTCTTGTGTCGGGCTCTGCCTTCTGGGGCTCGGGGGTCATGCTTACCCTAAGGCCCCAAGGTAGTTCTTTTTTGGGGTTCATATATAGGATCCTATAAGGTAATCCCCAAAAGGAACTACTATGGAGCCCCTGAGTAGTGTCTGGGTGCTTGAGGGTCCAGGGTCCTAGGGTTGGCATATCTCAGCCCAGGGAAGACGAAAGACAAGTAGTACGAAGCTTTACAGACCGCAAAACCAAAGTCTTAAAGAATTCAAATTTTCATGGGAGGTAGTCACTAGAGTTACGTGAACCCGCACGCTCTGAGTTCGGATGGGGTGGGTGCTCGGGTTTGCGTGGACCGCAAAGTTCAAAGAGTCAACCCCGCGGTTTAGGGTTTAATGCTTGGGTTTAGGCTTGCCTTTCTGGAGTGTGTTGATCAGTATCTCATGGTCGGCTAGGAAACCTTCAACCTTTTGTGGGCAACGTACTGGTCGGAATCGCTGTAGAGCATACCCCGCCAGCAGCCTATTCAAAATCCCCTAAACCCTAAACCTTAAACCCAAAACCCTATCCCAAAGCAGCTAAACCCCAAACCTTAAACCCCCAAACCCTAAACCTTAAACCCACAACCCTCTCCCAAAGCCCCTATTTTCTGCCTCGTTTCCTGTACAACCCGGAACAGTCGACCGGAAGATTCTCCTTTGGAAGATGAATCGTTACTTTCTAGGCTTCATATTTAGAACCCTACAAGGTAATGTGCCAAGAACTAACTACTTTTCAGGGGTTTTTGGGTTTAGAGTGTAAAGTTTGCCTTACCCAGAGGCTCCATAGTAGTTCCTTTCTAGGCTTCATATTTAGAATCCTGTAAGGTAATGCCGAGAAGTAACTACTATGGAGCCTATGGGTGGGGCTAGTAGTTTGCGGGTTTAGGGTTTAGCGTTCAGAGTTTGGGGTTTAGAGTTTGTGGTTTAGGGTGGTGCAGAGACTTTGGCTCTTAGGGTGTCGAGTTGGGGGTTCAGGGTCGAGGGAGTAGAGTTTAGGGTCTGTGTGTTGTTGTCAGGGGTTTGGGGGGTTTTGAGTTCAGAGTGTAGAGATAGGGTTTAGCATGTTGAAGAAAACACGACACTAAACTTTAAACTCCGCTCAGGGCTGAGCTTTGTTTGATGATGTTGCAGCTCAACCTAATCTCTTACATTCCATCTTTACTTGGCTCACCGGCAGGGTGGGGTGACAGCGACCCGTACCACATGTTCAGATCGTTGCATAATGTAAAACCGTGTGCATATCTTTGCCGAGTTGTCCGTGAACCCTGCCTAAAAGATGCTGGGACTTAGAAACTAGGGTTATACTGGTATACTTGTACACCAAAATCAGGTACTCTAACCTTACTTACTGAGTCCCACGATCCCCCAAGGTAGGATACTGTACGTTCAAGCAGCTTCCACAGGTGATTTCATCTTCGAGAAACGCATCCCGCCAGCCGTATATTGGGTTTAGAATTTATGGTTCCCGGTTCAGAGATTCGGCTTATCAGCGTCCTCAACCCCGCTTTCGCTTTGAGCCCTAAAGTCCTGGGGTAGATAAATGCTCAAGTCATTCGCAGGACCGATGACCAGGGGGATTGAGGCATCCCGGTACCTTTGGGTGTCCATTCAGTCACAGGTGGGTATGATCGTTAGTTTACGGCTTCGGGCTTATATCACGGCCGCATCAACTTGCATAGACTCCCAGGTTGATGCAGGTGTACTTGGAGGTTCGGTGGAAGTCGTAAATGCAGTCAATGCTGAGAACGGAGCGGGGTTGGTGTTAGCGTTGGTGTCAGGGTTAGTGGCACTGTATCACAGTAAGCTGTACTGTAGCAGCAGCAGCAGTGGCAGCAGCGGTAGCAGCGGCAGCAGCAGAAGGAGTCGTCTTCGTAATAACTGCAGTAGCAGTAGTAGTCGTCGTCGTCCTAGTCGTGGTCGTAGCCGTAGTCGTAGGCGTAGCCAGTCAGTATTTGTGACTTGCGTCATCATTCCCTTCCGAAAGCCCTGAACCCCAAATCTATTCAATCGAAGCCAAGTTAGGGAAGCCCCAGGTGTCTGGTCGTCTGCATGAGAGATCTGACAGAGACGTTTCTCTGAGAATGCAAGAAGCTCCTTCAGACTCTATTGGGTTTAGGGCACAGGGCTTGGACCAAACCCTTAACTTACCTCGCTGGTACTCACTATCTAAACTTTTCGAGTTCAGGTGTACCTTGGTAGCTATCAGGACAAGAATTGTCGTGATAGTATATCACCTTTCAGTGGCGTTGCAGGGCTTTGATTCAGGGGCTTGGATCCACGGAGTCGTTTTTGGCATCACGGCGTAGGGTTGTTGAGATAGGGATATGACGTGCACTCAGCTTCTAGCATCCGTCGTAAAGCGCGGGATGACTTCTTGGTTCGTACGACCTAGAATATCCACAGGTTCGTACAAGACAGACCACATTCTCGCTCCTCAGCGTAAATGCTCCACGCCCTCAGCCGAGCAACTTAAAGCGTAATCGACAGTAGCACAGCTGCAGCTGTGTGAAGTCGACAGTCTCAAATCGTTTAAAGGGCGGTGCGGCACATAGGGCGATGTCCTCTGTACAGCCTGCCCCTTCGTCTCTGCTTGCATGGGAGGGTGCTGGGCTAGAGGCCGCTGAGAGTGTGCGTATGCGGAGATTTGTCCCAAAACAACCAAAAATATCAAAATCTCAAAACAACCCAATATGTCAGAATCCATAGGCCAAGCAAGAAACAAGCTGGTATGTCTCGAGCAGGCCCAAAAGAACCCAAAAATTAGAACCTTCCGGGAGGCAGTCCCCAAAGACACAGAAAGAGCATTAAAGTATTTTATACCGCCTTGCTTGCCAGCAGTCGAGCGGGTGCTAAAGTCTTGACCTATCCCGTAAGCAACCACCGTCAACAAGCGCAGATGGATTTACAGTTGGTGTGATGGCGAATGAAACACGCACCTGAACCCCTACACCCTGAAACATAGCCCTATAAGCCCCATGCCCTATAAACCTTAACCCTAACCCTAAACCCGAAGCCTTAAATGTCGCCCGGCCTCTGACAAGCGTAGCGTACAGTGCCCTCCCACGGCCACTTCCGGCAGATGGGGAATTCTGAAGCCTGTATTTCTTAGTACTCCAGTGCCCTGTCTCTAGCAATTTCTTAAGGTTTCTTATAGTTTATAGGTGCATATAGTTGAGTAGTACTCTGAACGCTTGGGTAACCTTTTCATTTCTGTGGTTTATTTGGGAAGTAGGAAGTCTGAGAAATTAAGGTACCCAATATTGACCCTGAGTAGCAAGATCCAGACAAAGAGCCCCCCCAAAACGACCCCCTAAACTTTAATCCCGAAGCTTTACACCATAAAACGACGGGAATGCAGTCCTCAACCCTATAATTATAACCCTAAGGCCTAAACTCTATAACACTAAGTCTTAAGCCATGGAGCTATCGCAACCCGGAAGCTGCCGAGCTGTTAGGTTCATGGTCTAGAGTTGAATGGGGGAACTTTAAGTTTTTTGGCCATATATATTAGCTCTATCTTAGAAAGTTTGAACTTTTTGGGGCCCGGTGGTTGAAGAAGAGAGAATATCCTGAGCCCCAATAGCCGGCCGTTTTAAGGACGATTTTTCTGTTCAGTGTCGGAGCTAGAACCCCAACATCGGTGAACGGAATTAATGCCTCATCTGCCATCTTGGCGTACGATACAGGCACCTCCGTCGGCTTTACTTCACAGATTGCTGCCGTAAAGAGCCGTCGTTTGCGGCCGTCGAGGGTATAGTATAGGGGCCTTAATTATTAGAACAGGGTTTTGGGGCCCATTATACTAGAGTTGGTGTTTATTTAGCTCCCTATATGGGGGTTTCCGAAAATAGGGGGACCCTAATCTAGTACCCTAATTAATAGGATCCGTATTAGAAAGACCCCAAAACAAGGTACCCCTAATTTTCGGAAACTCCCACTTGGGTAGTTCTCTAAAATCACAGGGCATTCGGAAGCTCCCATATTCGGGACCCGATTCCCTAAACCCTAAGCCCTAGATCCTAAGCCCTAAGCCCTAAACCCTAAACCCCAAGCCCTAAGACCCGAAACTCAAGCACGGTTGGGGTGGTCTCGAGCCCCTGTCTTTCAGCCCCCTCCCGGAGCCCGCAAGCAACTGACTGAGCTTCCCAGAGACTCCAATACCCCTTAATTATGGAATGTTCCTTAAATCATATTAAGGATCCTACCATGATTTAAGGAATATTCCTTAATTAAGGGGTATTGGAGTCTCTGGGTTGGGCTCTTGCTTAGAGGATCATGGGACTTAGTAAGTAGGTGATAATTGGGGTTATAAGTCCCCTAAGTGGGGTTATCCCAATCATTTCCTACTTATAACCTGACTTACTAAGTCCCATGAGCCTTCAAGTGGGCTTAGATGTAGGATTGGGGCGAAGGAGCAAGGTTAGGGATCATGGGAACGAGGGTTTTGGGACTATAGGGATTAGGGCTTAGTGTTGAGGGTTTAGGGATTATGGGTATTATAGGGATTAGGGATTAGGGATTAGTGTTGAGGGTTTAGGGATTATAGGGATTTTAGAGATTAGGGTTGAGGGTTTAGGGATTATCGGGATTATCGGGATTAGGGTTTAGGGTTGAGGATTCAGGGATTAGGGGCTCCTATGGCCTCTTTTGCTAGCGAAGCTCCCAGGCGGAAAAGTTCGAGAACGCCGTCCGTGCTTTGCAGGAGGTCGCATGCTCTGGGGGCTTTGCCCACAGTGTCCCATCAAGGAATGTTTCTCAGTGTTCAAACCCTATAGTCTGTAACTCTTAGCCCTGTCTTTGTCACTCCTGGTGTTGGCATACCTCAAGATTTAGCTCTGGTTTGCTCCGGCTAGTTGTTGGGTGAGACGTGGACTGGATGATTGATGCCGCCACTCCTTCTGTCTAGGTTGGGGTCCGAAAGATGGGTGCTATTAGCTACTTGCGCACGGAGTGCAGGCACAGAAGGAGAAGGTGGCCGCCATTGAGGCTCGGGGTCTAAATACAGCAGGGTGAATCAGGGTTTGGGTTTTAGGGTTTGTTGAGGCTTGGGGTCTGAGTACGTGGAGGCGTTGAAATCTCGAGCAGGGTCTAGCTTCTGGGTATATGATAGAAAGATTGTCATGCAGATCCCCAAGGAATACTGTAGGTCATTAAGAAAGGCTTTATGGCATAATTAATTACTATGCTACCTTAGTTGGTGTGTTGTGGGGTTATACAGAACTGTTCTAACACAAACAGGTTCGGATGCAGTAGCCACCTTCTCGGATTGGGGCACCAGCTGCACAAACTCTTATAAAGGGAACTCCAGAAAGTTGGAATATGGATTAATGGTAGGATCCCCTATAATTTACCTTAAAGGGGTTACGATAATGATATTCCAACTTTCTGGCTTCTACTATAAATGGAGATCCTGGGACCACCCCCAAACTTCATCCTGAGGGTTCAGGGCTTAAAGGGAACTCCAGAAAGTTGGAATATGGTTTCAGGGTAGGATACCTTATAATTTACCATAAAGGGCTTATAGGATAATCATATTCCAACTTGCTGGCTTCTACTTTAAAGGGTTTGGGGGTTTGGGTTTTAGCGGTTACGTAAAGGGTTTGGGGGTTTAGGTTTTAGGGGTTTATATAGGGGCTTAGGAGTTTAGGGTTTAAGGGGGCTTTCCACCACGTCTTAGCTTTCAGCCACTTCACTACAGCCCTTGTGGCTTCCGCCTGGCATTGAATCCTCAACCCTCAGCGTCGATCGCTAACGGCTCAAGGGCCGGTCTGGGTCTCGCGGAAGTTCACGGAAGGACATTTTCGAATCTGCGGACATCAAGGATGACGGGGCAAAACAGCATGGTGGTGGTACTGTTGATGATATAAATCCTGCATTACCTTAAGGACCCTAGACTATGGGATGCATATTCCTTGTTATGGGTAATGCAGGGTTTACATCATCAACCGTTGTACTGGTAGTGGTAGCAGCAGCAGTGGCAGTATACGTAGGGTTGCGAGTCGCCGGACTGTGAGTACTTGCACTATGAGCACTTGGAGGTTCATGGGTACTTTTAATTGGGGTCATATGTAAGGTATCTATACTTACAACCCTTATCAAGGGGACTTATAACTCCGCTTGTAACTACTCATGAACCTGCAAGTACGAGCACGAGCAGGAGTAGGAGTACTCTAGGAACACGAGTAGTTGGAACGGAATCATTACTACCGTAGTTCTTGTCTTTGATGCTCCTACTCCCACCGCCTTTCTCGGTGTTTATTCACCCCTGTAGAGTCCCTCTAAAAGCCTTCAAGCCTGAAAGGTGTGCCTACACTAGACGTCCAACTCAAGACCATGTCTCCGACAGGGAGCTAATGAGCAAGCGCGGGAGATCAACCGCGAAGCGAAGGAGCTGGATGAGTCCAGGCCGGGGTTAAGGGTATACCTTGACCCTGAATAACCCACCTCTTTAGGGCTCCTTATTAGAATTTTCTTATATAAGTCCTTCAAAAGGTAGGCTATTCCGGGTTAAGGTAGGGTTTAGGGAATGGTGCAGGGTTAGAGGGCTGTGGGGTTGTCAGGGGTTTTGGGGTCTCGGGTTTAAGGCTAAAGCTTTCGGTGGTATTTCCAGAAAGAGTGCTCTAATCATGGGTTTTCGGTGATAAATCATGCGAGTGAATCTCTAACCTTTCGGCTTAGCAAGAGCCTGTCCGGACTGAAGCAACGAATTGTCTGTAGGAGGACTCCTGTTCTTGAGGTTCTATTTTCAAAGGGGAAAAGGAGGCACCCTTAATGGGGACCCCTACACTATAATGGGCTATATAATGGGCATAGAATAGCTATATTAAGGGTATATACCTAGGGGTCCTTATTAAGGGTCCCTCCTTTTACTTTTGGATAGTTCTTAGACCTGCATCAGGGAAGTCGGTGGGCAGTCGCCTTAAGACCTGTGGAGTCTGTAGGTTTTGCCAACCTCTCATGCACCAGCCATATGGGTAGTTGTCAAAATTAGGGTCCCTTTTTGGGGTACCCTAAATATTAGGTGCCGTACAAAAAAAAAAGTACCCAAACAGGGACCCTAATTTTGACAACCACCCATATGACAAAGCTCTTCTAAAGTTACAGTGCCGACAAAACCCTAGAGTTTAGGGTCTAGGGTTTAGAGCCGATCGCCCATAACTAAGCCCCATACCATCGCTCCTTCAAAAGAGCCACAGGGCCAAGAAGCAAATGCGCCTGCAGCTGATGACTGAGAGCTCGAAGATCACCGACCAGTCGTGCGAGGAGCCTCAACTTCCAAGCCTCTGGGGCCTAAGCAATTACCTGCACCGTTTTGGGGGTTCCTTGCATTCCTTATTATAATCAGAGTATAATAATGGGCCCCAAAACCCTATTCTAATTATGTATGGCCCTTACATTGCGGTTTGGGGTTTTAATTTGGGCATTAAGGGTCCCAGTTTTTGGTTCCTTTAACGCCGGGGGAGTCAGTCAGGTCCATCTTCTTCTTCAAGGGTATCTACATTCGAAACTCTCTGGGGGGGGGGGTTAGGCTTAAGTTGCTAGTTTTTCAGCATGAGACTTCGGGCTTCAGTTGTATAAGATTGTACCATAGTTATGGCATCCCCAGCAAATCCTAAACCCCAAACCCTATCAGATCATACCCTGACAGTGGACACCAAATCCTCAACATAATCTTTGAAAGCGGACCTGTCTCAATTCGGGGCTGTCCATATTGAACCCTAAATCCCCTAAATCAGTGAATCAGTCAGGTCCCAGAAGTAGAACGTCACCCGGATACAAAAAAGGACCCTAAAGGTTCCTGAAAAAAAAGACAACATTGAACCCGAGACCCCTTGAGAAAAAAAAGCCTTGGGACCCGAAGGGCACCCAGTACTTTAATCCGAGAAGCTAAGCTCTAGACTCGAAACCACGCCACTAAATCCCCGAACCCCTAAACCCCTAACGTCTAAACCCAAAAGCCTGTCTAACGCCAGGACACGAAGAAGAAGCTGGACAAGGAAAGTGCCGTGCACCAGGAATTAGCCGCTGGCCTGATCCGTTCGTGGTTCCAGTGTAGGGTTTAGGGTTTAGGGCTTGGGGTACATCAGGGTTCTATATGAAGTAGGGCTTATGTTACTGTTTTGGTGAGTGTATATGGGGCTCCCTTTTGAATATTGATGTGTTTTACTTTGGGTGCTATTCTGGAGATACCAGCAATATATACCCTACCACATATATGTGGGCTCTACAGGTACATCAAGGTCCTGTACGGCTCTATAAGGAGCTCTAGTTGGAGGTTCATAGGTAGTTGTAAGTGGGGTCATATGTAAGGTAACTATGCTTACAACCCTTCTTTGGGGACTTTAACCCCACTAATGACTACCCACGAACTTCCAAGAACGGTTTACGGGCGCAGGGTCTGTGCCTAAAGGGCTGCAGGGAGCTTCTGGTTCGGATTGAGCATCTGGCAGTGGTTTGAGTTTAGGGTTTAAGGTTACGGCTTTAGGGTTCAAGGTGTAGCGTTTATGGTTTAGGGCTGATGGTTTAGCTAACGGAAACTGACAAAAACTGGAACCCTGTCACCCTTTCTGGCAACCTCGCATTTTGATCAGAGGATCCGAACCAAAAGTGGGTTAGCCAAGTAGGAACCCACAATGGAGACTCAAGGGAGACACCCCGAATCCCAACAGAGCCAGAGCCCTTTTTGGGGAACCCGGAACAGCAGAAAACTGTAATTTCCATGAAGGAGACTTCAAGGAAACCCCAAACTCTCAAGACCTTGTGGAAAAGCTCATCCAGCCCGTAGAACGCCGCGTTAAACAAGCCTGTAAAGCAGTACAAATCCCTCAACCCTAAACCCTCAACCCAAAACCCTAGACTCCTCGTTGGCACCAGTTTGATCTCGACCCTGGAGTTGCTTTCCGGTATTATGTCAGCATCTATGAAATTATGGTCCCTTTTTGGGTACCCGAAATGTTAGGTGCCGTAGTATATGAAGGACCCCAAAAAAGGGCCCACAATTCTGACAACGACCCATTTCGATCATGTGGGAACATTGTTATGATTGCAATGCAGGTGCAAGGCACCTCTTTGGAACATCAGGGCCTAAACTCCTTCAAGTCCTCGCCCGAGCATAAATCATTGTATTTCCTTCCGAACTGAAGCCCATAAACCCTTGGCCGCCCTAAGCCATCTAAACCCTGAGCCTTTAAACCCGAACCCTGAGCCCTGAACCCTAACTACACCCACGCCGAAGCCCAGCTTTGGTCAAGGCATTGAAGCGCGCCAAGATCGACAAAGAGCTGGAAGAGCTTAATGCTCGGGGCTTGGATGTAGGGTTGGGGGTGTAGGGTTTTAGGGTTCAGAGTTTAGGGGTTGGGGTCAACTAATGGTTTAGGACAGAGCTAACGCCCGGGGCTTGGATGCTAGGTTTACGATTACGAAGCCAGGGGTACGGGGCGAGGTTGTAGGGTACAGAGAGGGGGTGTAGTGCTCCGTGATCAATCGGAGACCAGTGCAGTATGAGCATCCTTCGCACATGCCAAACTCTAAGGCAAACGCAGAGAAAGACGGAAAGCACCTAGACATGCTCTTGGAATTCGGAGTTTTGGTAGACTTGTGGCTTATCAAGAGGAGACAGCAGCAAAGAGGATACAAAGAAAGCCAGTGACTATCAAAAACCTGAATAGTAGCTATCTACCTTAAACTACCAAACCCTACTTTTGTTAAGGTTCCAAGTATAAACCCGAATATGGCATCTATAGGGATCATACAAAGAGCAGGTTTTGGTTGAGGTTTCTCCGTCCTTCGGTTTCCTACTATAGTAACTATAGCAAAACATACTCCGAACCCGAGTCGAAACACCCTGAGGGTACATATAAGCTACAACTATGAAATTAGATCCCATAAGACCATCCCAATTATGGTTTTGGGAGCCTAGTTCCATAATAGCCGTATATATGGACCCTCTTGGTTCGAGTGCCCATGTAGAGCCTCCAAATCCTATTTTGCCGAAAACTTTTTTCATCCCATTCTCTCCGGGCCCTTCGGGCGAGCAAGTCCCTCATTCAGTAGGGTTGAGGATTCAGGGGTGTTTAAGGCGTTTAGGAACTCTAGGGTTTAGGAGGGTTCGGGAACTTGGGGAGTTTAGGGTTCATGGCTTCACATTTAAGTCGGTTCTACATGTTCTTCGAGGAACGCTGTCATTGCGCATATCGCAACAAAAAACTCCAAACAGAGGCGTCAGAATACAGAACAGCTAGCCAAACTCTCGCGTGTGGTCCGGTGCTTGGTGTTCTTCGGAGTTCATGCAAACCCTGTACCTTATACACCCCGGCCGAATCCAGCACGCAGCGTAGTCTGTGCAGGCTCACAACCGGCATGCGCAGCAGGAGGCGCAGCGCATGTTCGTGATATGTACGTTACTTGGAGGCTCATGGGTAGTTATAAGTGGGGTTATGAGTCCCCTAACAAGGGCTCATAAGCATAGTTACCTTATTTATAATCCCACCTATATAATTAACTGCCCATGAACCTCCACGTACTTATAACCCCACATACAACTACCCATGAACCTCCAAGTAAATAAGGGAGTTTCCGACAATAGGGGACCCTAATGTAGCACCCTAAATAGCAGGATCCTTTTTATAAGTACCCCGAATAAGATACCTCTAATTTTCGGAAACTCCCATCTATATATATACACACACACACACACATATGGTGTACCAAGCCCGGCCTCTCCATCGAGCCTTTAGCAGCGCCTGCAAACTCAGCCTACGCTAAACTCCGAGACCTAAGTCCAAAAAGCCACCAAAACCTACCTTAAGGCCCCAAAGTAGTTCCTTTGCGGGGTTCGTATATAGAAACCTACAAGGTAATTTCAAAAGGAACTACTTTGGGGCCTATGGGTAAACCCTACCTCTAGTAGCCGAAAAGACCTACCTTCTTAGGGTTCCGGACAATGGGTTCTATGTGATATAGTTCTTCAAATAGGTAGGTCTTTGGGCCACAGGTAAGACCCTGTTTGTTAGGTCCCAAAACAGTAACAGTACGGCACCCTTGTAAAACGGACCCTTCAAGGGACCCTCGTTTGCTACTGAGTGCTACTGTTTGTTTGCAGATCCACCCATATTCCTTTGGCGGTTTTCGGATGGGAGCAGCTTCGAATTGTGTTCGTTGTGTAGAGGCCGCTTAAATGAGAGCACCGGCGGCAACGTCTTGGCCACGGATCAGCGAAAGAAGTGCATGCTGTTGTACCTCAAAGGAATTCGACCAAGACGTCAAGTGCCCACGGTCCTGGCTGTTTCTTGCTGCCGTGCCGCCTATGGACTGCAGCACTGCGGCAGCCGGCGTCAGCGGTCTGCTGACAACGGTGGTCCGTGAACTGACATGCCGAGTCAGGGTCGGAGGAGACAGCGCTTAGAGAGCGCCTTCAGATGTCCAGAGAGGACAAGCCTGTTGCCCCAGTGCTTGATTGCCGCGGGCGAGAAAGCTCGCCCCCGGCCCAGCCAGATTCTGCAAGTGGGCATGTGTGCTTCGGCCACTATCAATTGGTGCAGTCACGTACCCATGGCAGCTTGTACGTTTGGTCCAAAACGAGCCGGCGCACAATCACTATAGTCGGCATGGAATTCTCGAACTGTTGCGCCAATATTTTGCTTGGAGCATGGCGGACTTCTGCGACCTGGCTGAGCTGCTCAGAGATGTTTATGAGCTTCGCTCCCCACAAAGCGTGCTATTGCCGTTCTGCGGTGCATGCGCGGCACCAGCGGCAGCGTGGCTCATCGTGGCTTTAGGAGTCCAACTCCGTCACTGCCTTAAAATCTGTCAGGTCGCTAGCTTGGAGCCGTGTCATTTACTTAGTAGCTGAGTGGATACACTGTTCACTTCTCGGGATAATATTAAACACTATCAAACTAAAAGTGCACACTTTTTGGGGCTTATGAACTCAGGAACTAAGTTTAGAGATCTACCCAAATAGAACCCCGAATCCCAGCCTGCGACCTTGAGAGGTGACCACCCTGCAGAAACAGTGTGGCACCCGGTAAGTCGGAGTTTTGGGGTTTAGGGGTTTAGGGTTGAGGGCTTTGTGTTTTTGTTTTGGTCGAAACGCACATGAATGGGCTGTACATAGTTTTTGCCCCGAAAGGGTCCATCAAAAAATATTTCCTTCACAGTCATACACACAGGCGGTTTTGTGGAAATATAGACGTATTCGCGATATGTCGACCAGTCAAGAGATAAGCGTGTCGTAAAAGTGCAGTGTTTTGGCACAGGCTCCTGCATTAGACCCTGAGGGAGGACAAACACCAAGCACGTACGTGCGTTGCCGTGCTGCTAGTTTGCGTGGGGGTTCTGGTTTGGATTTTGGGTGTTCTGGGGTTGGGGTTCAGGGAGTAAGGGAAATGTCGGTGGACACAACCCTGTCTTGCATACCCAAACCCAAAACCCCAAACTCCCAAAACCCCGAAACCCTAAACCCCTAACCCCAAAAGTCCAACTACCTAGTAATCATGTACTCTCCAAAATCCTAACCTACAGAACTATTATCCTCAAGCCGAATACCTGATTATTGGGTCCTTTGGACCCTCAGGGTAAACCCTAAACCCCCTAGCCCCCAAACCCCAGCCCTGCCGGAGGGCTTTTGCAGTGTTTACTAAGTGATTCCTGGAGAACACGTGCATTTAAGTGCCGCTACAAGTCAAGGGTGAGTCCAGGATTCAGGGTTTTGGGTTTTGGGGTTTAGGTGTTCGGGTTTTAGGATTTACGGATTAGTGCGAACGGACTGCGATGCCTTGTCAAGTTCTAAGGTGTCACTATAAGAGCTGTGAGCAAGACCGTGTAAAGTGCAAGAGAAGGGGGCACGCTACGCGTCCCTCGACTCTAAGGGGGCACGCTACGCGTCCCTCATCTTTACCTTTCTATGTGACCGCCCACGCAACGTTTGGCTCAAGTCAATGCCCATAGCTAAGTGCTATAAGTGTCTTCTATCCTGAGCAATCAGAGCTATCCCGTTGCACAGACGAACCGCCGCCGGCAGTGAGTGCAAAAGGAACGGCCGCCGGTTCTGCCTGCATAGGATTGCACGTGTGGAAGTGTGAGAGAGACAGGGTCCAGTCTGTGGAGAGTGCAAGCCAGCCACACCTACATTCATTACAGCTCTGGTGGGGAGAGCAGCAACCTAGTCGAGATCAATCCCCCACGCAGGTTATCAGCCGTACGCGGCTCTGCCTTTCTACAGCAACGACTACTTGATCTACTACGACCACAATGAACTCGGGATCAAGCCAAGATACGACAATGACTTTCGGTGCCGATGTGGCAGCGCCAGCCGTTGGTGAATCAACAGCTGATGACACAGTGGTGCAATCCGTTGATAGCTCCACGGAAGATGACAAAGGTCAATCTTCTGCGCTTGCCATTGCAAAGGCAGTTCCCAAGGTGAAAGCAAAGAGTCTACCAAGAGCATCTACGCCTTCGCGTCCGACATCCACAGGTTCGAGGACGGGCAAGGCTCCCGAACGACGAGCCGAAGCGTCTGGTTTTCAGGCACCTCGGACTACGTCCAGGGCCAAGGACAAAGGAGTGAAGACCTTGGAAAAGAAGTCAAGACCATCATCTTCGAGAAGCTCTTCAGCACGATCAAGGACTTCGGTTACTCGTGGGCGTGACAAGTCCATGACTTGGAATCGGATGGTTACCAACCAACCACGCGATGCTGACGATCTGGATATGACTCTGGACACTATCCCAGCACGTGGTGATGCGTCATCGGTGGCCACGCCAGCCATAGCCGATGGTCCGAATGCTTATCAGGAGCTGACGATTTCGCAACAGTTCGAAGCATCGAACCTTGCGCAGCAGATGTACTATCGCAGTCAGATGCAAGAGTACGAAGGAGTTGTCCAGACCCTGATGGACAAGATCAAGGAGATGCAACAAGAAGATGAAGGATCTGGAATTCGCATCGAAGAATTGGAACGACAACGTGACCATGCATGCTTAGCCATGAGGCACATCAACAATGTCAATCAGGAGATGAAGCGAGACTATGAAACAGCTTTGTTTCGCATGGATGAACAGAACTCTGCTCAACAACGTCAAGCACATGCCGTTGCCGAGGAGTTAGCTCAACAGCTACACGTGTTCCGCACGGAGGCAGCCACTAACTTTGTGCAGTTGGAGGCAAGAGCGCAAGGCGATGGTGAGCTTATGGCACGTGAGTATGAGCGTCTGACTCATGAACTTCATGAACATGCCAGAGAGAACTTGGTCCTCCGGTCAAACACAGCAAGTTCGGAACAAGCCTTACAAGCAATGCAGGAACGATTCCACTTGGTCAAGAACCAGGAGTTGCGGGCCGTGAACGAGATCCAAGGGCTAGCTGGAAACAGCGCAGCCATTGATCAAGAACGACTTCGGCTTCGCGAACGTCTTGGTGAAGAGGAAGAGTACCGCAAAATGGCTGTGAGGAGGATGCAAGATGCAGAGGACCGACTTCATCAGAATGAAGATCATGCAAGGCGAGCACTGCCTACCTTGCACGACGAGCTGAGTGAACTCAGGAAAACACTCAAAGCACAAGAAGATCTTCAAGCGAGGACACGCAGCGAATTGGAGGCAGCGCGGAACTCCAACTATGGCGGAGCGACACGGCCTTCGAGCATGCCCATGTCTTCGAGGACTACTGAGTCTGGCTGGGAGCACGTAGGAAAGGAAGTAGTGCCTGCATTTTCCGTAGGAGGTGAGGTACGATCCCCTGAAATACGGTCCCCAAGTCAAGTTAGTCCAGTCGCCAAAGAGAAGTTCGCATTCTCGGAATCGGACAAGGACAAGAACCTTGTGATGGATGGAATTCCATTTCACCGGTGGAAACTTCTTCACTGGCCGCAAGTTCAATGCCAATCGTGGCGGATGCAATGCCCGAGCACTACGTGCCAGGTATTAGCAGCCCAGCACTTGCGCGTTCCACGCCTAGTGCAGCCACTCTGTTTGGCATACCAAGCGGATTTCATGGGAAAAGTGATGCGGCAGCCGTGCGTGATCGACAGCTACGCGAACTCTTGGAGGATCGCGGGATGTTGGGATCGAAGTCCACAGCATCTGCCAGCTCCTCAAGACCTGTTGGTGTCGACGGCATCACCGCATCTACGAAGGGCAACGACCTCATTGGTCCCCCTGTTGCCTATGACGATTCCATTCATGAAGCAAGGAGACGTCAGATCGAGAAAGAGGTCGCGGAACGGTACGAAGAGAAGATTGCCGATCTGCGAAGCGAAGTACTCAAGGCCCAGAAAGCCGAACAGCGTCTCAGAGCTGATCGTGATGAGTGGAGATTATTCGCTGAAACGATTCAGGAGGATAATGGAGACGATGACGGTGACGAAGCTGGCGACGAGAATGAAGAGGGAGAGCATGATGAAGGAACCGGCACGGGGTATGACCCTCCAGACCCGCCTGATGATGATGATAAGAAGAGAAGCGGTGGAGGCAAACCTGAATCGGATCCTGGCTCTCATGCGCGTGATCCTGATGGAGACGCAGATCCTGAAGTCACGGAGGTGAGAATTTCCAGGAGGGAGGCCGACAAAGTGACCGTTCCTCCATGGCCTACTCTCACTCACCTCAACAACTGGCGATCCGTATGCACGGCGAATGTCTTAGGAGCATCAGCCGATCCAAATCATGAGGACTGGATGTTATGGCTGGCACCAGCATTCAACCCATTCCCTGATGTCGAAGCACTGAACGATTCAGGACACAAGAAGTTCAAGAGCGTAGACGTCAAATTGGGGATCGCAATGGTCGCAATGCTACGCGCTGGTGGTGACAAATCTGCTGATCTGTACCTGGAGGTAAACCGGAAGGCCAACGATTACATCAGCAGGCCCGAAGGGAAGATCATCAAAGGACGACAAATCATTGCGATGATGTATGAAAGTTTTCGAACGCATGATCGTCTCGACATGATCATCACTCTCGAGTATCTGGTGAAGCTCCAGTACCAAGGCGACAACAAGCTTCATACATTCAAGCAGACGTGGTTGGAAGTTCTGGGACGGATGAGGCCAGAAGACATACCATCCAAAACAGCTCTCCGTGATTGCTTGTACAGCAAGATCAAAGACTCGCCCGCAATGAAGATGGAGTTGGGCATGCACTACGAACACTTGCCCTACAATCATGAAGACCGATCGTACGACAATCTGATGAAGATCATCGACCGTACCATCATGCGGAGACGAGAACAATCAAATCTCACTCAGACCCAAATTGGCTTGCGCCAGATGCTTGAGGGCAAGGATTTGCTTGCTGCACCGGCCAAGGTACCTGAGAAACCAACGCCTAACGCAGCTCCATCCGCAAAGGTCAAGGCTTCGCCG